GATATGATATGAGCTCTTACCGGTTCTAAAGATATGATATGATGATATGATATTTTACGCATGACTTAGTATTTTTATTTGGGATTGCACCATTATTTTCGTGTCCTACTGAGTATTTCCATGCACTCACCCTTTTTCTTACTCCTCATAGGTTAGAACGAGTCATTGGTCGACGGGCGATGAGGTGCAGATGTGGTGCCGGGATAGGGAACTCAATAAATGTAAATCCGATATGACGTAACCAAAGATTTTTATTTTCAGCAATTATTTTTATTTTATTATTATGTGGATCCATGATTTAGGAGTTGGATCATGATTGGTTTGGTTATATTCTTCATATGATTTATTTTCATTATTTTATATTGGTGGGATTAACACCTTATTATGTCCATACGTAATTATATATTAATTTGCATTTCAAGTTGATATGTCGTATAGGCTGCAGCTTCGAGAAAATTCACGCATGGATCCTGTATTCTATGTCTCCTTTGTTAAGATATGTGGGAGATCCTAGCCAAGTGTGTTCAGATTTACCTAAACAGTAATGCTCGAACCTGAACGTATTATTGACTCTCGTTGGATCAAGGTTGGTAATGAATTTGTTGAGAGTTTGGTACATGGAATCGTTTGCCCACCGAGGAAGCCACCTAGGAATGTACAGGGATACTAAAACAACAATTTCCTACTGTAGATCTGGAGAAAAGGATCTTCTTGATCAGCGGGCATTGAGGGACCATGAAGGTCAAATAGAAATCCTAAAAAGAATCATAGGTTCTAGGGTTGCATGGTTTAGGTGGTAAAGGTTGTGCATGCTTGCAGATATCTGGAGAATGGTGGGCATGCATGCATGCTCATGCTACGTAGTGGAGTCCAAAGCATGTAGCTACGTGGAAAATGGAGTCCAAAACCAAAGCAAATCATGCATGCACAACAATATCCAAGACTGAGTCTTACCTTTGTTTTTAATTAAGAATAAAGTTGTTTGAGAATTTTGTTCCTGTTAGTTTCATTTTCTGTTGTAACGTGGGCCTTGAGTATTGGAAATCCATTGCCACTCAACCACTATTTAAACTCGAAGTTGGTTGAAATAAACATCATCAAGAAAATTCATTCAAATTTGTGGTTCAATTCTCACCCTAATAGAATTATTCTTACTATTTATTCACCATTTTGATTGGGGTATCACAAGAACCAAGGCTAGAAGGGTTGAACATCATAAAGATTGAAATCTTCTATAGGTTCTGGACAGTACAATAAAAAATGAGATTGAAAGTGAATCTTCACTTTATAATTAATCTCTCAAAATATGTCTTCCGTTTGTACAATGAATAAGGTAATCCTCTCCTGCGGTGATAATTCCTCAACAACCCTTGGGAAAGAATGATATTATCACTAATATGCCTACCTTTAACAAAAGCAATTTGTTGAGCTCCAACAATGTCTGGGAGCACCATTTTAACTCTATTGGGCAATCAGCTTAGCAATACATTTATAAATAGTATTACAACAAGAGATAGGCCTAAAATCCTTTACCTGAGAAGGATTTGGAACCTTAGGAACCAATGCGATGGTTGTAGCATTAACCTGCTTCAATAGTTGCCCCGAGTCAAAGAAGGACTTGATGGCACATAGAACATCATTTCCCACAATACTCCAAGTCCTCTTGAAGAAACCTGCATTTAAACCATCTGGTCCTGGAGTTTTGTTGTCTTTCAACGAGAACAAGACCTCTTTAATTTCCTCAAATGACACCTCTATCAAGATTTTCATTGTGCTCTGCTGAGATGCTCTTTGGAAGAGCTTTTTGAAGTAAGTCCATATCTAGACTCTCACCACTACGCTGCTGACCAAGGAGGTTTTGATAGAACGCAACAATGACTTCACTAACATCATGCGGCTCCTCCACTCTAGTACCATCGTCTTTACAAATAGAAACCACCTTACTCTTGCCATAATGACTTTTCATAGCCTTGAAGAAGAACGCAGTGTTCTGGTCGCCTAAATTCAGCCACTTAACACGAGCTTTTTGTCTCAAAAAACCTTCTTCAGCCCTGCTCAACTCACAAAGTTTCTTTTGTAATCGAGCCTCCTCCCTATGTAGAGACGAATCCAAAGGAGATTGTTGAATCAAACACTGAACATGCTCTATATCAATTTGAGCTTGAGTAACTCTCGTAGGAAGTTCTGAAAAATGCTCCTTATTAAAGTCTTTCAAGGCAAGCTTTAGCTTCTTCAACTTCAAACACAGACAAAACATAGGGGTACCCACTACTGATTCACCCCAAACCTGAGCCACCAAAGGAAAGAAATCCGAATGATCCATCCAATAATCAAAGAAGCGGAATGGAATCTTCCTACGCGGTAACTCTGCAACCTTCACAACCATAGGCGAATGATCCGACACACCAGCAGTAAGAAATGTAGCTGACGATCCTGAAAATTCCTCCTCCCACTTCGAATTCACCAATACACGATCTAGTTTCTTGAGAGTAGGATCAGATACCTGCTTATTAGACCATGTATATAAACAACCATCAAACTTTAAATCGGCCAACCCCACTGTTGTCATGCAATTCCCAAGATCATCTTGTCATGCAGGCCAAGAAGAAGAACCACCTGCCACTTCTGAAGGGGAGACAACAGAATTGAAGTCCCCCATGACCACCCATGGCAAGTGTGCAAAACCTCCATACATAGCTATGAAATCATCCCATAGATCAACACGCTTAACTGGGATATTATCCCCATATACCACTGACACCACACAACTCCATTTACCATTACATGCATTTACACGAACATGGATAGCTTGAGCAGAGCAACCTACCAACAAGACATCTACATCAATTGGATTCCAACAAACCCAAATTCTACCAATCGGAGAACAATTATAATTCGAAAGGACACTCCAAGAGTTGAAGATGGCATTCGCCACCTTATTTTGATTCTTCTCCTTAACTTTAGTTTCCACTAAACCACATAAAGAAAGTCTATTGGAAGCAATAAGGTTCTTTACTTCAGATTGTTTGACGGGGTCGTTTAACCCTCTGACATTCCAACATCCAAATAACATAATTAAAGTCAAGGAAAGAATCACAACCTCAAAATGACTAGTGCCATCTACCTCCCCTAGGGGAGTGATGCTTTTTGCCTTTCTTATGTTTGCCTCCTGACCTACTCTTCTTTTTCTGAAGTGAATCTCTAGCTTTCATAGCTAACGTGTTAGACTGAGGAACAGAAGTATCACTATCATCTTCATCTAGAGTGGCAAGAGGATCTGGAGAAACTTCAGCTTCTTCCCCAATTTGAGAAGTCTCAATAGGCACAAACGACACCTCCTAATGCAAATTAGGAGCACTAGGTGAAGATGATTTATCAACATCTACATGAGCCACATTGGCAACCACCAGATCAACCTCTCCCTGGACCTCCTTAGAAATAGGTACAGCAACCCCATTATCAACACTAGCTATCGACTTTCTCTTATGTGAGACATGGGTCCATTCATCCTCAATAGGTGGTTTCTCATTAGCTACACCACTTTGTCCAGCCTTATCTTTAGCAACCCAAACCTTGGCAAGCTTACCCTTACTCTCACTAGGCATAGTTTGAGAAGAGCAATTGTGGCCAAATACCCCACACTTCGCACATTTAATTGGAACCCATTCAAACTCAGCACGAATAGTTATCCAATCCCCATTCGCACAACGGAAATCGAATTCCTCCACTAACTCATCCAATGCATTAATCTCAACACAAACACGTGCATAGCTGAGACGTTTACATGTAAGAGTGATCACATCTGCCCGTAAAGGACGCCCCACAGCACTAGCTACATGACTCAATCCCTTCGTTGTCCAGAACTCAAAGGGAATATCATAAAGCTTCACCCAAATAGGAATGCAACGTAGATTCTCCTTAGCCAGAGTCATATTAGGTTCCCAACGCTTCAAAGTGGCCTGTTAGCCATATGCCAAGGCGCTCCTTCAAGAACTAAAAGAGCTTGACGGAGTGAATCAAACTTGAAAAAATAGAACCCAACATTAGAGGATAAAACCTCCTGAAGACCAAATTTGCCGCACAATTTATGCGCAATAGAATTCACAACGGGAAAAGCTAATTTCTTGCCCACAAAGGAGCCAACCAAAGTCGTCCTCCACATTTCACATCCCGACACAGCCACCTCCATAGGAGGAACCACCTTTACTCTACCATTATCACAATGAGGCTTGATAAAATTTAATTCTAGAGATGCAGAATTTAAGTCCAATTCATTTACACGAGTCCCATTTAACACATTAGCATATGTTCTAGGCTTCTCATGTTCGGATCCATCATCAATTGAAGGATTGGGGTTTGAGTTATTCACGTTCAAAACAATAGCCTTACCCCCTGCAGTTTCACAATTGCCATTCTGGAGGGTCGATTGCTGGAGGGTCTGACCAGAAGTAGCGGCTAAAATTTCACAGGGGCTGTCGGCTAGGGGAGATAGAATAGGTTGGTGGTTTGAAATGTGGGTCTGGCCGAAAAAATGGGTGCCGCTTGGAGGGTTGTCTGCTGGTTCAAGTGGTTCGGTGGAGGGCGGCGTGATATCGCCTGTGGTGGTGGGATGGGGGATTGTGGAGATAGAATTGGTGGGTGGTTTGGTAGGAAGCTTCGGTGGATTTGTAGGGTCCAGTGGGGCAAATGGCTGGCTACGGTCAGATGTAATGGAGGGCGGTGAGAGGGTGGAGGGATCCGGTGGCTTAGATGGTGGGTGTTGGTGGAGGTTATAGGGTGAAGGAGGCAGTGGCTCACCCATGGGAATTTTTTTTTAAGTTAAATGTTTTACTTGGCTCTGTTTGTGCTTCAACTTGTCATGACTCCCTACATATCTTCATCCTTTATTGGCCTAATAAGCATAATGTTCATTCTTCTTTTCAATTTGAACACGAACCTTCTCATGGATTGACCTCACCAATTCTGTCTTCTTATTCCCATTCAAACTACCTTTTTTCATCAAAGAGTTAGTGGATTAAAATTATACACAATTTCAAAAGAAGAATAAGAGGTAGTGGAAAGCATGGCCCTATTGTATTGAGAACCCCTACACCATGAAACCCACAAAAAGATTTGATACAAACCCCAAGAAAGCAAAAGTCAAAGTTATAAATTGGCCCATGATTTTTTGATTCAATAATCAAGGCTAGAATGGATGAACGTCACAAATATTGAAAATCTTTTATAATTGACAGTTCCAATTAAGTACAAGATTGAGAGTGAATCTTCAATTTATAAAAAATCTTGTGGTCCTAATTAACTCGTAAAATATCAAGAAAATATTGAACAAACAGATTTCTAAAGCAAATAAAAAAAAAACTCTTTTTGTCCAAAATCATGCCAATCTTAAGCGTGGTAATGCAGGCTGCGTATTCATGGCGTAGTTACTTTGCTCTTGGGTTTTGTAATTTTCTGGTTACGTACGCTAGGGGTCTAAAGAGACAAATACACATGGCTTTTCTTTTGATATGTATCGTAGTAACACTGATTCTATGGAAGCACAAATAAGCACCCAATGGTTTACAAGCCAACTTGAAAGTTGGTGGGAAAGGCTTTAAAAATTGGACCAACAAAGAGAAATTCTTTATACGACCAGAACTGAATTAAAAGTAGAAAATGACGTCAATATGACTTGGTGCTGTTATGAGACTCCTAACTATTTCAAAGCATTTTGTAGTAGATTTTATACCTCTTAGAGGGGTTAGTAGGGGAAAGCTGATGAACTTGAAATGTAGGTCCTTAACTCACTTTAGATGGTATAAAGATACCTTCATTACTTTAGTTTATCAAAGAGAGGACGCCAAGTGATTTTCGGAAAGAAAAATTTGTTGTAGGACTGTCTAAGTTGTTTAGTGAAAGGGAAAGAAATAGAATTCTTGCTAAGGACGGAACTAATCTATCATGTTTAATAATTATATCTATGGAGAAGTAATTGCAGAATATTCGTAATGAAAACGACAATTAAAATTTCAAGGAGTTAATATTCGACAAGAGTTTGGTCAATAATGTGATCAGTTTGCCTGACAAGTAAAAGAAACCTAGAGAATTTCCTAGAATGAATGCTAAAGGAGAACAATATATGAAGAAGAGGAAGTCTAATAAATCAACACCTCAAGAAAACTATTACTCTAAGAAAAATTTCCAAAAAGACAAGTTTTTGTGAAATCGTAACTTATTAAAAATAAACTATTTGAAGTGTCGTAACTTGGACATTATACTTCCGAATGTAGGTCTGACAAGAATTAAGGTTTGGTGAAGTTATTAAGCTAAAAATATCTCAAATTGAAGCTTAAGATGTCTTAGATGATCTTGAAGATCAAGTTTGTTTCGTAATAATAAAGAAACTTAATAGTTAGAAGTGTCAATTATTATTTATCTAGCTCTTCAGAAGGGGAAGAAAGTTCAAAAGAATGTTCAACAAATGTCTTAATTGAGGCAATTATGAATATGAATGGACTACGGATTAACATCATATCAGAGAATCAAAATTTTCTTCTAGAAATGGTTGATCAAGTTTCCGATCCAATAGAAAAGAAGGATATTATAGAAAAACACCTCTATAAATACACTAAAAAAGAAAACATTCAAATCCGATATCTCAAATGCCTATAGAAATTTTTACTATGAAGGAACATTTTGATATAATGACCCGTAAGGGAAAACCAATAATGTTAGAAGAAAATAAGGAGGTTAAAAACCTCAAATTTTAAGTGACTTTTTTACATGAAAAAAATAATGGAAATGGAATTTGAAGATTTAAGAAATCTAAATAATACCATTCACAAGCTTGAAACTTTTAGACCTAATAGCCAAATGATTCTTCCAGAAGAATAAGAGAAAACTGAAGATGAATTTTTCCTTATCAGCAATTTGAAATGTAGTCATATATTATAGTCCATTCTTCTCTCTCCTATTTTCAACCGCACAATCTTTCATAAAATAATATTACACGTAAATTGAAAACTTTTCATTCTTTTTCAACCACTCATTTTTCAAAAGAATACTATTCTACCCATTTTCATTTCCAGAAAATGGGGGACAAATGGGGGTGAAATATAATGGAATAGAAATTAATGGATGTGATACGAGGGCTAAGAATAAGATTGAAAGCGAATTTTCACTTTATAATTTAATTAATCTCTCAAAATATTTATTCAGCCTATATGATGAATAAAGTCCTATATGGGCATAACCCCTAAAATATCAACAATACTGAAAAATAAATTTCTAAACAAAAGAAAAAAGATTATACCATATGTGCGCGTGGTAGTACACGAATCTCATTCATGGCCTAGCAACTTTGTTGGGTTTTGTCAATTTTCTTATTTCACACACAAGGTTTCTAAAGTGATCCATGTGCATGGCTTTTGTCTGACCTTTGGTCTTTGCTTAGCTCAAGTCAAATGCTTCATGGTTGGTTCTTCCTTCATGCCCATCTTGAAAATTCGTATCTTACACGTTGTATTTGAACACTCAGCCCATGTAGCTTGGCACGTCCTTGAAGGACCTTCCTTGCTCTTAGTCATGTTA